CTACTCTTAATAAATTGTTTCTACTTGAAAGATTTTTTTGTTTTAAAATGGATCCTTTAAAGGATCTTGATGACAATTTGGATGTTTTTAAAAAACTTGTTCACGACATTGTTAATTGTAATGAGAAGGTGTCTGAAATTTATATGGCCATTGTCTTGCTTATTTATATGCTTAACTCATATGGGGAGTTAAGAATACAATTACATATGGTAAGATTCTCTTAAAAGTAAAGAGACCGAGATTAAAACTGAAAAAAATAAAAGGAGTGGTGAGTTATGTATAACGATGAGTAGAATTAATTTTAAGCAAATGAATTTGGGAAGAGCTCAAGATAGTAGTGATTCGAGTAGTTGCTCGAGTGATGATGATGGTAAGAAGAAGAGCAAAGGTTGGGACAATGATGGTGGTAAGTGGTGTTATAGTTTTGGTAAGTCTTAATACTTTATGAAGGACTGTCCCAAGAAAAAAGATTTGTTGAAGGGTAAGATAAGAGGTGAGGCTATTGTGGCTAAGTGATGACCCTAGTGAGATTTATTGAGAGTAAACCTAATTACTACATGTGCATCTGTGTGTAATCTTATATGGATGTGTGTGATTGCTTAATTTTGTTGTATGGTTATATGTTGCATTTCAATATGTTTGATATGTGCACTTGCATAAATTTGAGAGCATTTTGATTACTTAGCGTAATTGTTTGCATACATAGTGGGTTGGAATGCATTAGTAATAAGTGTGATGTGTGTTTATTGGTGATGTGGAGTATAGATGCTTTGGGTACATTGGTGGTATGTACAAGGGATGTAGAGTGTGATATTTGGATCATGAGTTGAGACGTGATTAAATGTTGAAATCATTTATCTGTGAAGATCCTAATCAGGTGAAGTGTGAGGAGACACTTCTATCACTTCTGTTAGATAGAGACCCATTATCCACTTGTTGGGAGAAGTGAGATGGTGATAGAGGATTATCTCGTAGACTTATGATCTATTGTGATTTACAGTTAGACATGAGTTAAGTGATTAGTTTAATAAACATGATGAGCAACGGAAGAGATATGCATTCTCGAGGTGTGAGCAACACGGAATGGAATATGATAAATATATTGAAATCTTTTTGTGGGTCATTTATACATTTGTTGTATATGTGTTGGCCGTTGTTGATTAACTTGGAGTTAATCTGTTATTCTTTGTGAACGTGTTTTATATTTGTGTTATCCAATGTTATATCTTCATCGTACGTTTATTTGTTCTTGATTGTTTACTGTTATTATGTACTTCTACTTGGGTTTTTTTGTACCTTAGCCCTTGTGAGAACATGGAGCAGGTATGGTGTGTGTTTTGGGTTTGAAACACAAGATAAGGTATGTGATCTTAATTTTACTAGTTCTCTTGCTTATGCAAGTATTAACTTTGTGTTTTGATTTCTTGCAGGTTAATTGAGTATCAAGGTGGAGATTTGTTAAGTTTTGATACCCAATGAATTTCAGGTTATCATGTAAACGTCGAATTGAATTTCATAGGCGTCGATCGATGGGTGAAATTGTTACCAACAATTAAGTCCAAATGCTCGACCTGAAAATAACGTGAATCGTTGGAAGTAGCTTAAGAAATTAACGCTACTCCCAGTCCATGTATATTTATCTATTGGATGGCTTTGAATCTTGATCCATTTAACCATGTTATTGGTCCAACTAAAACCTAGCATATCCTATATATATGTTGTCTTTGCCCTAGCAATTTTGTGTAATAAAGAAGATGAAAAAACGTGGCAGTCTGCTCGAGAGAAAAACGTGTGCAATATAGAGAAAAAAATCAGTTTGCTTTGCGCTCCAAAATTGGTGACTTCCTCTTTCATTTTTGGCCTTCTCTTTATGCTTCTTTCATTGCTTTCTTCTTGCCTTTGTGGTTTGCAATCATTACAGTTATCTTGTCATTTGTTGGTGAGATTGAGAAGCAATCGAGATGAATATATTGGTTATAGGTTTGAGCCGTTTCGATTGGTTGTTTTGTAAAAAAAAAAAAGAAAAGAAAAGAAACAGTAACGTGAAATTGAGCTAGGGGGGAATCCAGGGGTTTTAATCAACACGGGTTGTTGTTGACCATCTACCGTCGATCTTAATAAAATATTAAGAGCCCATTTGATACCCATTTTTTGCAAAAAAAAAAAAAAAAAAATTTTGAATAATAATAATAATAAATAAATAAATAAATAAAAATTGTATTTTGGAATAATGATTTGATGGAGAATGTATGACTAAAAATAAAGAAATTTTTTTAATTTGCGTGTAATATTATTTTATTGAAGAAAGTGTGAAGAAAGAAAAAATATATAGAAAAAATGGAAATCGAACAAAGCCTAAATTTTAAATATAACAATTATTTTGTGCAAATTGAAAATATATAATTCTGTTATAAAAATAAATTTTGAATTTAAGTGTAATATTATTTTATTGAAAAATGTATGGTTGAAAAGAAGAGAGAAAAAATGTATTTCTAAAAAAAAAAGGGAATCAAACAAGACCTAAAGTTTAAATATAACAATTATTTTATTCAAATTAAACATATATGATTCTGTTATAAAAGTAAATCGGACTCATCAAATGACATTATTGCCAAATTTTGTATAATTCAAAGGAAGAGCTCTGATTCTAATGATTATAATTGTATTTGTATTAAAACAGTTAAAATCTATCCAATATTATTTCGTTATAACAATACTTACAAGGAGTCATAGGTTTGAATCTCCTTTGGTCTTCCTCCCTATTGAATTTTGGTAAAAATTATAGAATAAAAATATTGCACGCTAACAAAATTGGATCCAAACCTAGGACTTCCGGTGGGTGCATGCAAGCTTAACCAACTGAGCTACAAGGGGTGAATAACAATAAGACGTATTACTAGTAATATAACCTGAAAATTTATTCTATTTTCAACAAAAAAAAGGCTTCCGATGGATTTAGCACGTGTAGTAGCAGGAGCTCGCCAGGTGTTAGATCCGCCCTTGAACTTAGCCCGAAAAATCACCGATTTGAACATCTTGGATCGAGCTTCTACGAAATGCATTATCACGCACATACTCCATATGCGAGCCATTTCGAAAACGCATCAACCATAAACGAAAAAATGCGTACATTTTAGAACACAGCAATAATTGAATGAAAAATATTGTCGTGGTGTTCACAAATTCTGTAAGACAGTCATATGCCACAAAGTACATGGTTGCAAGTTCACACTATCGACAAGTTCATGAATGTCAGTTATTCTATGATGGGAGTTACAATTGTTTATTGTTACACATCACGTCCAAGGTCACGTGCGAAGTAATCAAGCATTTTACTTATACATTAATAGGAGTCATATTACGCAAATATATAACTCCATTAATTCTTCACACAACCAAAATCTGAATCGAGTACATGCTAACATGCAACAATTGAACATCCACAAATCATGCATTACCGCTCACAGGGTCACACTTTGGCAGGGGTCATATGTCACCCAAAAGAAATCACAACATGCAATCATTGCTTCATCATCTAATTTTGACACCACTTGTTTTTCATTTGTTTTTGCTAATAAATTTCATAAACCGTTGGATGTAGCTTAAGAGAGTCGTGCTTCTCTTCCTCTTCCACAGTCCAATAGAATAGACGAAGAGGTTCTTTCCATTATGGAATGCAAAAGCGCAAATTCCAGTATTGTAAAAGAAAGGTCAGCTCATCCAAGCTGAGCCCCCACATAGGACCATTTTCTATTCAAATTTCTACAACTGGACAAGGGTAGTAGGAAGTAGGCTGTTGGAAAAAATTCCAACTTTGGGGCCACACATGTACATTTATTAGAATGTGTGGTGCTATTTTAAAGTAAATATAGTCGATAAAGTGATCCATTGGATTTAATTTTGGACTAATGGGTATTAAATTTTATGGGATTAAAGTGTAGAGACCAGAAGGTGTTATTTTGAATTGATGAGGGGCCGATTTGAAATAACTTAAAGTTAATAACTGCCAATAGCAGTTATTTTAAAAGTGGTTATGGTCCCCAATTTGAACGTGATTTTCTTTTGATGATATCTCTGCATCCCCATCAACAGAGACTTTTCAAGAAAACCAAAAGGAAGGAAAATCACGTATCAATTGGAAGATCAAAACCCAATTAAAGCAGTAAGATTCATGGATCAAGGTATGTTTCCGCACTTTTTGTTATCTCTTTGATTTCAATATGGAATTTATGATTTTATGAAAGGATTTTATGAATATGGTTCCTTTCAAATTTTTGCAACAAGTGGTATCAGAGCCATCCATTGTTGAAATCTTTGAGAAATTGCAATAATTTAGTATTTTTTTTTATTATTGTTATGGATCTTCCATGATGTTATGTGAAATTTAAATTTCTGCAATTTTTTTTAAGATTTTCAAATTTAACTATTTGGATACATTATTGTTGAATTTGAGAATTGTTTAGCATATTATTTATGGTTATAGATCTAGATCCAGTAAAAGGTTTTGGAATCTAAAGTTTTGAAATTCCATTTTTCTGGTTTTGGTTTAAAAAAAAAAAAAAAAAATTCGCCGCCGGCGCTGGCTGCTGCATTTTCAGCAGCGTGCCTGCAGCAGCCGATGTGCTGC